CTGAACTGATTTTATTTCTCAGTATAGCTACTGTTGTAGCAGTACAGAGCTAACTATTAACTCAATTAAAGTAATTTTATGCTCCTTTCCATTTTTTCCACAAATAAGTCTGGTTGAAGGGGGAACCATGGAAATGTCAAAAAAATTACAAAATTTGTTATAAATGTTTCCTGCTGTTTGTTAATGTAAAAGATAAACAGTAGCAGGCAGACTGAATCTGTGAAGTTGGATTACTTTTATTCCAATATTGTGTGTCCTTCTCATATACGGATTTCCTTGCTTCATTTAAACATAGGTTTTTGTTGGCTTTTTTTCCAGACTTTATCACGCGGAGAAGATTTCAAACACCAATCTAGTATTCATTATTAGTGACAGCCAACTGCTGTGCCGCTCCTGTGACCCAAAGCCACTGATGCAAGCGGAGAAGCCGGGTATCCTTTAAAATCATGTTATTTAGTAGCGTGGATTGATTTTTGGCTATGATATACTGGAATATATTTGAAAAAAATGGCCTGTTTATGTACATATTAGTAGCATGGTTGCCATTGGAGTACTTGAAGCAGTAGATATTTGTAGATGATATCACAGATCATCTGAGGCAGCAGTCATTGAGGTGGAGAGCAAAGCTGTTATTTGTGAGGACCTAAACAGAAATGGGCTCACAGGAACTTAATGAACTTTCCAAAAGGCAGATGCAAAGTCTTGGATCCAGGACAGAATAATGACATGCACCTGGACAGACTGGGGACAGAGTGATTAGAAACAGCTGTGCAGAAAAAACCTTGATGATCATGATGGACAAAAAGTTGAACATCAGTTGGCACTGCGCCTTGCAATAAAGAGGGACCAGTCACATCCTGAGCTATGTTAGCAAATGTGTAGTCAGCAGGTTGGGACAACTTAGCCATCCCATCTCTTCAGCACTGGTGAGACCACATCTGGAGTGTTGTGTACAGTTTGGGGCTCCCCAGTACCACACCGATGTACTGGAGGAAGTCCAATGAAGGGCCACCAAGGTGGTTGGCATCTGGAGCTCAGGACAGGCAAGGGGAGCCTGAGAGTCCTGGGTTTGTTCAGCCTTAAGAAAAGATAAGGATATGTCTGTCTAGAGAAATAACAAAAAAGGGCAACACCAAGATAAGAATGTTTGGTCATGAAAAGCTGGGATGCTGCATTGATGCCTGCAACACTGAGGTGAAGTGATGGAGGCAATTTGGTATGTGCTCAGTACCAGTGAGAACTGCTTAGTCCTTGTGGAAGGCTAGACTTTATCCGGCTGCTAGCACGAAATTTATTCAGAGCTGGCTGGTGACGTACATGGCATACGTGTTAAACCAAGTCCTTGCAACACATGCATTAAAATTAGAGGCATGTGAAAGGTTGTTCTAATTTACAACTGCCTTCATGCCAATCTCTACGCCTTTAGCCTGTTCACCCCAGTAGATACCTGTAGGTGATGGTGATGGAAATACATAAAACCAACATACACATATTCTAGGCCAGGAGAAATTCACCTCATTTTTTCTCTGCTATATGTGCTTGAGGATAGCATGCTAGAGATGGTCATTGTTTGCATCATTATGATAGAATATGGAAAACAATTAGTAATACCTTTGTCCATGTCAGGAAGTTAGTTGAGACAGCCTCTCCCATTCCTGAAAGAAAAGCAGATGGTGGTAGAGATGACTATGTTTCTTTGGCACAAGCAATGCATTCATTGCCACATTAATAAGTCTGGAATTCCATCTACGCTTGGGTTGAAAAGGAAGTTACATTGGGGTGGAAGCAGTATCTATGTCATCACAGAACTATGTAAACACAGCCTAATATTCTAATTGGCTCCAGTCCATGACAGTTTGATTAACTGTTGCCACTGTCTAAATTTATAGACAGCACTCACTATAGAAAATGAAGCACGTTTGATGGGATATGGGCACATGACTTGCATTTCCCTGTGGGGCTCAAACCTTCTAGAAAGCAGTAAATGGCCTCAAATGGCAGCCAGAGCAGCTGGGTGGGCCTATATTGACTAAATGAACTATTTTATTTTTGTTCCAACTATGCAGTACTAAGCTATTCTTTCTTTTCTATAACTAAGGTACATTGTGAAATGCAGATGTAGCATAACATCACACAAGCAGACAGAATGACCTCTGGGTGCTATTCAGATGGTTATTATTAGACTCTGCTTCCTTCTGGCTGGTACAGCTTTGCTTGTGCACATGGTCTTTTAGAGTGTTTCTACGTTTCTACTTCTCTTTCAGCTGAGCTCCAGCAGAGGAGAGGGGAGGTGAGTCTGATAACATCTGAAGGAAGACAGATGTAGACCTGCAGAACTGAATTCCCCATCCTCTTGCCTTCTCTTCCATTGGGCATCTCCACTCATTGCAACAAAGCTGCTGTAGTACTCCACAGTAGTGCTTCAAGTATGAGTTAGAGCTACTAAGATAAATAAAATATTGGTGCTCAATTGTTTTGAAACACTCTAGCTTAGCTTTAATGTCTGTACTACCAACAGTGGAATAAAAAAGCTTAACATACTGAATGGTAATATAAGCAGGTTTCAACAGAAGACGGTTTTGCAGAGTATGCTGCAATGACTTCTGTCCCTTGTTAGCCTGTGGCAAATGTGAAGTATAGTATTTGCATTTAAATGTCAACAATTACAGATTTCAGAGATGTAAGCTAATGCATTACCTCACATTTACAGTTAGCTAAATGCTATTGAGATCTGATTAGATATTCTGTTATTTACTGTCAAAGCCTACAGTGGGATGATCTTGTATATGACATTTGGGGCAATACAGGTGTACACATAATAAAACCAGTAGTTCTTAGAGGCCTTAACTGTAATCTTCAGCCTGTATATAGCATTACTTTTCCAAACAGGTTTCCTCACTTTTACTGTGTATCTGCATTTTAGCAGACTAATTCAATGGTAACATATGCTATAACCAGCAGCACCATTGAAAGCTTACTACTTTATTAAGTATTTTTTATAATATTTATGCAATAGCATTAAAAGGTACACAGAAAATCTTAAAAAAAAAAAAAAAAACCACAAACAAAAAAAACCAACCCAGGTTTTATTTTTGTTTTGTATATAGTTAGGGAAGTATTAGTTCTAAAAAGTCATGCAGGATGTTTATTTTCTTGATTAAAGCAGTGTAAAAAAAAAAAAGGCTATTGGATTTAAATTTATCTGGAGGGTTGGTTTTGTTTAGTTTTCTTTGATTTAAACAAGGAACTATAACTATTGATGTTTATTTCAGTCCTATTTGAATTAGCATAAAACTTCTCCCATGAAAGTAAAACCAGAATGTTAATCCTCCTGATGTACGATGCCTGAAAAACAGTCACGCTCCTTAACCAGAGAAACAGATGAAGGGCCAAATCCTTGTGAGATGGTCAAACAACCTAGATACAGAAAGGGTCCTGATGTCTGTTTTGATGAAGCCAAACAGGTAAAATTCAAGTTGTAAGACTTTAGGACTATCTTTGAAAGTAATTGTAGAGCTGTTTTAGAAGAGCAGTGAAAACTATGTTTACATGTACCTTGGTGCCTGGTAACCTACCTATCACTAAACATACTGTTCACTCTAGACCATAGCCACTCTATTTCAAGTATCCCATGATTAACATAAAATTAACAGCTGCTTTCTTATCTGCCTTTCCTATAACCATTGCACTTTCACACATGAATCCCACTAAAAAAACCCAACCATCAGCAAGCATAAAATGGTCTTTGTATGGTACTGTGAAATTCAGTTCTTCTATGGCTTTCACAAATAGATGATAATCTTGGCTTAGAAGTAGTATTTTTATATGTGTGTTTCCAAATACTATTTCAGGTCTTGTTAAAAATGTATAATCTGGTTTAGGATGTTGTCTCTCTTCTTAGAAATTCTGCAAATGTATATTGACCTTAGGTCACATTCTTAACAGGTATAAAACTGCATTGCTTTACTGAAATCAGCAAAACTATGCTGTTCAGTACTCCCTGTATTGCTTACATTGCAATTTTGAAGGAGAAAAATTATAACTGTGCCACATATATAATTATTTTGAATATAATCTCTGTCTTACCTTTCAAAATACTATATGAAAGAAAATATGTTGAATTCAAATTCCTCAGCATAAATTTCAAGACAAAAAGTACTGAACAGGGAACTATCTGTCATTATATATATAAAAAATATTTTTAAAATGCATTTGTAATGCCTTATCCCCTTTCTGCAAAGGAAAAATTCTCCAAAACTAGCAAGTTAGTTGACTATAACAGCTGTATATCAAGTTTTGATCCAGTATGTTCTCTTCCTTTCTTTAATGAAGCAAAATGGTTGAGATGTCTGTAGTTAAAAAAGTCCTGACAGTTGGTATTCAATGCATTTATCCAGTAACCAAATTTTATTTTAAAAAGCAAGTCTTCTAACTGGCCAGCAAAGGTTAACCAAGGTTGAAAACCCATCCAAAAGCTATTTGGCCATTGTAAATATTCCAAATCATCCTGATACGATTGTGTGTGAAAGTACAACTCTTGCTCACTAGCTTGATGTGCTAATCAGTGTGTAAGTCATGTGTTTTGTAACAGTGGATTGTTTTGGTTAAGTTTATTTGCAAAATTTGCTGTGAATCTCTTGCTCTTGGGTGGATGCTTTCACATTAACTCTGCTAACTGCCGGCAATCTGCATGATATCTCATCTTGTGTGTCTTTTTTTCTGTGTTTTCTTTCCTTTCCTCTATTTGCTACTTTGCCCGTTATTAATAGGATCAGCCTATATGCACAACGAGTCGTGCCTCTGCCATGACGTCCGCTCCTATCTTCATTTTTCTGCAAGTTTTCATGTGGTGTGGATGGTCAGTTACTTTCTCTAATTTTTTTGTTTTGTTCTTGGCTTAAAAAATTAGCAGATTTTTTTACTTACTAAGCATACAAAAGAAAACAGAAAGAAGCGAGTCCCAAAAGCAACAATCTGGAGCAAATTACTATTGCAATATTAAGGGAAATTAAATATGAAAAAACCCTGTCTGGAGCCTCATAAATCACAATTACAGAACACAAGGGCCTCTCCCACAGCAAATACAAAGACACGGGAACCTGTTGGGTTGATATGGCCAGCTCTCTGAGATTGCACATGTACCAACTGAATCGGTGTCATCCCCTTCCAAACATTTTTCCCTTGTCCCTGTTAAAACGCAACAGAAGAAGAAAGTTTTCTGCGCAAACGAAGGTACAAAGTAATTAGAAGAGACTGTAATACCTGTGAAAATAAAGCTGTACTTAGGGATAGCAAGGATGAGTGCTCTGTGTTACAGGAAGTGTTGCTATAGAGAGTCTTCACTGCATTCAACTTAAAGGAAATGTTTCTGCATTCAAATTAATGGAAATGTTAATGAGGGAAGGTAATAGTGTGCATCAATTTGGTTAAACTATGAGTTCAGTAAAGTAATATTTTTACTTTTTAATTTTTTGCAACCTAAACATATTCGTTGCCTAATTACAGCAGAAGGTGGGTTTTTTCTTCTAATGAAATACATGGATACGTGAAGTGCTGCATGTTGACTTAGGGCAGACCCCAGGGTTCATAACGAAAGCCTCGACATTTTAGACTGTGTTGCATTGAATGGTGTGAGAGTGTACACTGCTGTCCTAATGACACGTACACAAGAGAACTGCTGATCTAAAGGGAATAAAATTATGACCTTTTACATTGGCGGGCTGTGTGTGTGCGTGTTTCTGATCGATATTATTACTGAGAAAACCACTAGAGGGAGATACTAACATATCTATCAAAGTAAAGCCAACTGAGAGGCTGAAATGGAAACTTAAGAGATAATTTTTCAGAGTTAGTGTAGTAAAATATTGAAAATTGTAACTATTTAGAACACTCATTCTCTCAATAATTTATATTATCTTTATGCTTGGGGGAAGGTTCAGTTAATATCACTCTGACATCAGCAAAAAAACCCCTTAAAGTTCTGTTTAACAGCTGTATTTAAGTAATTTTGAAGTTTCTTATTCTGAATTTAAATTATCTGATTTCTAGCAAACCTAGGAACTTGCACAGACATGGCTAAAGATTGTAAGGAAGTCCCTTCCCCCACGCCATTAAAATCTAGAAGATTATCATCTTATGCAATTTGCTCTGCAAGTAATCTTAGTTTAATTAAAAAACTACTGTCCAACGTACGTAAAGCAGCAGAGACTCACCTTGAGCTGAATTCTTTATGTCCAAAATGGTCTTTCTGCTCAAGAAGGCAAAACAAAACACTGGGAAACCCACAAAATATAATTTTATCTGATAGACTTTTGGCAGCAGAAAGTTATAAAGGTAATTTTGTTCATCCATCCTGTTTTTAATAACTTTGTGATTTTGGAAATGAGTTCTCACTGGACAATAATCTGTGTAGTTTTATTAAAATCACTGAAGCCAACACAGATACAAGCTAGCTGATAGGTTCAATAACAGCAGCTGGGGTTTTTTCCATCAAGGATAACAAAATAGTCTTTATCACCCCCTTGAATAGTTTGCTCTTACTGTGTACATGCACAGTGGTTTTATTTGCCATGTCAGAATAAAGAGATGAACTCTACAAGTTTTTAGGCCCTTCTGGGAATGTCTTATTTCTGTCAGCTCCCAGGGATGTCCGTGGGAGCTTCGGGAGTGATTAGCAGCCCAGACAACTGTACACATCTTGATGGGACTGGCTGTATCCCTGATCCACATGTGGGCAGCTGTACAGCTTTGACAGCTTTGTCTGGTAGTCCAGACAAAGAAGGGTAACACAAATTTTATGAAAGACTGTGCATTGGAACTTGAAATGACTCGAATAAAAGCAAAGGTGTTCTCCATGCAATATGAAGCATTTCAAATATATGCTTATAAAAGGTATAACTTTGAGGTAACCAGTCGATATCAAAGGCCGGACCAGAAGCTCTTTGGCAGATATTGTTGTTTTATCCTTTTTATAGTCAGTGTAGCACAATGGGTTTCTGATGAAGAATTAAGGTTTCAAGAAAAAGTTTTGGTACATTGAATAGTTATAGTGTATTTCTAAAAGAGTAACAAGTCTGGTTATAGACTTAGACATGTATGTGTATATATATATGTATATGTGTGTATATATATATATTTCCATGTATGTCTTTCAAATTTTGGACGGCCATTGCCTTTAAGGAAATGGTGATATATAGCAATGAAAATGTGATACTTAACAATGAATATGTGGTTTTATAAAAGCATTCATTTCCATTCTACAAGTGCTGAATAATTTTCACAGTGTGTGATGTAAAATAACCCTCTCTAGAGGCATAGTAAGGCATGACATGAACGAGATGACATTTGGATTTGACATTTCTCTAACTCAAGCATGCAAGGAAATTTGACATGTGACTTCTTAATGCAAGAAGTTTCTGATACACTTCTGATGAAATGAAACTGGCTATTGAGGATTCTTTCCAATTTCTTTTCCAATTCTTTCTCTCTTCAAAGAGGAATAATATACAGAATATTATTTTGAAGACAGCAAAGAGAGGATATCCCCAACTGATCTGTTGGTTATTAATGTTTTCTGTATGACTAATGTAGTAGTGACTAATGTAATAGTCTGGAAAATTTCAATGAAACTGCTTAAAAATAGCGAAATATATAATTGCGCTGGCAGAGGTAAAGAAAAGATAAGGTAAAGATAATAGAAAATTATCCTATGTAATTTGTTATAAGAAATTTTATAAGAAATCTCAAAAATAACATTCACAGGAAACAGTTGAGAAGTTTTCTTAAAGATCAGAAATAGGGGAAGTGTTTTCAAAAAAGGTATTTGGAAGACCATTCAAAACTTGACGTTTTGCTCAATCTGGTTCCCAATTAATGATGAGATCCCACTCATTTCTGAGTTGATTTTTTGAATTTATGTAAATCAGCATGTAATCAGAATGCCTCCTCTTTTGGGGGTTTTTTGTTGTTTGTTTGTTTGTTTGGTTTGTTTTGTTTTACATTTCTTGTTGTTTTCACAATAGTTAAAACACACAAGAAAATTACAATGTGCAAAGCTGGAGAGGAAAAAGTAATTTAGATAGGATTTACTGTACCTTCTTTGCCACTACTATTTTCGTCTTGGCTTAGGACACAAAAGAATAACTGAATCCAGAGAGAATATTTAGAAATTGTTCTTGGCAGAACTGTTGGTTTACTGCTGTAAATTGGTCTCCAAACCTCAGAAATTCAATGTGACTTTGATCAATATGAGGTTAAAATCTCACCAACCTTGAAATATGTGTACAAACCTTGTATACGTTTGTGTAGTACAGTTTAACTCTGTCATTCATAATAAGAAGATACCTCTCTTGCATGAGGCTTCCAAGACGTTCTCTACTGTCGTAAAGTTGTGAATCCTTTAAAAACTGCTTTGTATAGTCTTAGGGAGAGAGCAAAAGATATTAAAATCCTTCTTTTCAATTCAACAGGAATATTATGTAGTATAACTGTTGAATGTAAAAGGAAGGCCCCTAAATTGTGATGTAGTTTAAAAAAAATCTCAAAAAGCAAATAAAAACAGGCCACGGAATGGAGGTTTTTTTTAAGTACATATAGTGGTAGGATTAATTTATCAACATAATTTATGCAACATTTGGTCTAATGCAGAGGTGACATGAAAGCTGAGTACTGTATAATTCTGTATGTGGAAGTCCATCTACTCTGTATCCACACGCGATGCCATTTTCCCTATAATATTTTTCCATTTCTATTATGCACAATTTTGTTTAAGATCTTCAATTTACTTCTTTCTTACCCTCCAGACATGTCCCCTCTGTTGGAAAATTTTAAACCTTGTAGTTTACTTTAGACTATTTCTTGAGAGACGACTTTTCTAATTTCAGTGATAAGAATCTTAAATACCAAGAGGTGACACTGAGTACTGTTCATTGAATTCACGTGAGAAGAAACCTTTACTGATAATTCTGTTTCCAGTGGTATTCACTGTGAGGAAGAAGCAACAGGGTTATTTTTAGGTGTCTTGAAAAGAAATAAAGCTACATAACAAGATACAATGCAGATGCAAAAAGTGACGGAGCCAAACTAAATAAACCAGACGTTCAGTGCATCTTTAGATCTTAGCATCCTACTCCAAATCCAGTGCAGCAGAGTTCACTCATGGCTTACTTCTTGAACGGAAACCTCAGGCATTTTGAACTGGTAGAGTGCTATCAACTGAAAAAAAAAAAAAAGCCTAAGCCAAAATTATGGAACTAATTTATAAATCTAATAGATGGCAGAAGCATGTCTGGAAATGGCTACTATTGATAAAGAACAGCAACTGACGTGAGCTATTTGCTTTAGGACAGGATGGATCTTATTTTTTCTTTTTTCTTTTTTTTTTTTTTTTTTTAAACTTGAATGCTGGTTTTTGGTTTTGGGTTTGGGTTTTTTTTACATCCAAGTTTCTAAAGGAGACTGTCGGTGAATGCTATCATTCCCGATGACTTATTGAGACTAATTTTTCTGCTTTATCTGATTTTCCATATATTTATTCCAAGCTGATCTAGTTCCTCTGACCTCTCTGCTTTAAAGAATGCATTGTGTGTGGTGGGAGTTTCATTAAAGTCTTCACCCCTTAAAACTGACACAAAGAACTCATTGAAGTCCTTTGCTATGCCCTTTAATCCCCACCTTCTCTTTACACCTTTGTTATCAAGCACTTGTCCTAACTCTGTATTTGGCTTTGTGCTTTTGATCTATTCAAAACTTCCTACTATCATTTTCAGCATATTTTGCAGGGAGGTCATAAAAATTATCATCCCTCCTAATTTCCTCTTTATATTTAATCTGCCATTTTTATGTGCTTTCCTATTCTTGCTCATTTGAGTAAACTTGATTTCTGAAATACTGACCTTTTCTAGGATAGTGTACTAAATTTCTGTACTGATTCATGCAGGGGTGTTTGCTTGTTTGGGTTTGGTTTTGGGGTTTTTTTGTGGGTTTTTTTGTGGGAGGTGATGTTTGTCTTTTTTTCATTGCTTTTGGGGTTGGAGGGTTTTTTTTTTTGAGGGGGGAGGAGGTACCAGGGGGTGGGGGGTTGTTGTTCTAATTGTAGCATTCATTATACCTGGATATCTAATGCACTATTTCTGAACATTCTTCTGGATCCTTGTGAGTGACTTGCTTTTTGAGATTATTCTTCTATTTTTTTTTCCCACTTTCTGTTTTTTTGTTTGTTTGGATTTTAAGTGGGGTATTTTTCGGTTTTCTTAGTTTGTTTGTTGGTTTTGGTTTTGTGTTGTTGATTTTGTTTGGCTTTTGTGGGTTTTTTTTAAACTGCTTGTAGTAATTTTCACATAGTTCCCCTTCTTGAAATTGTTATCTTTTTTTTTTTATATTTGTTTGGCCTGATCTCTCACACCACAAAGTCCTATTGCATTATGGTCTACAAAACTACTACAGCTATACTAAAGCTACACAGAGCAGCTCTCCACTAATAAATTTGAAGAGGGCCCCATGCACCATTAAAGATTCAAAGATGGTTTATTCCAAAAGGCAGTCATTTATCATACCAAAAAATGTGATCTTTACATCTCTTTTTGAGATCAATCCAGTCTATATGTGGCTTCTCAAATCTCACATAACGTTTCATGATTGATATTGTCACTTTGATCAGGTGGTCAGCAGTGCAATCGTAGTATTAAATTGTTATTATTAGATGCTGAAATTTCTCACCCACAGAGATTCCATCACACTTTCCTTTTTCTGTAATACTTTCATGCTATTACACTTTGTATTATCCTCTACATACCACCCTTCTGCTGTATGTCCTACACTGCCATTCTTAAAAAGCTGGTTGCCTGACAATGTTCTATCCTACTGATTTTTCTCCTTCCACCAGGTTTCTATGTGTATTATTTTGGGATGGTTCATTGATGACTTATCTTTATTCCTCCATCTTAATTTTATGTTTTTAGCATTGTTGTAGAAGCACTTGAAACATTTGCTTAAGAATGTGCCAGTAAATTAAAGGTGTTTTAATGACCTTCCTTATTTATCCTGATTGTACTTTTTATCCCCCTCACCCAGCCTTTTCTGAGGCACATTGAGTATTAGTTACATATGCCTCAGGGGCATGCCAGTCTGAACCAGGAGCTATTCCATGCTCATTGACTTTCCTCTGCTTTCTGTTCTAAAACCTTTTTAATTTTTCAGCTGGCAGCTGGGCTCCGTTACAGCTAAGGTGCAGTCTCTCCTTCCCTGCACATGTTCCTCCTTTTCAAGAGGTTTCCCCAGTTCCTAATACACCTAAGTCCCTTCCCACCTGCACTGTTTTCTTGTCCTTGGAGGCTTGGGATCTCTTGGAAATTGGAAAGTGTCTTTTTATGCTATGGGTACAGAATACATTGAAAGCAAGTGGAAGACAAAATATTTTCAGCCTTCAGACCTACCCATGAATCTCAGATGCGGTGGACAGAGCAGGGCAGGGGATGGCTGGAACGTTGTCCTGGTGTTTTAGGCAGCCAAACATAGATTGTATTAGTCCTGAGAAACAAGAAGGTGTAAAGATGTTACAGACTCCAGCACAGGTATCAAACGTATATTGGCCGGACTAGTGAGTAAGTCCATGATGTGAAAGATATTATGCATTACAGGCAAAGTGGGACCAAATAACAGCCGTTAACGGCAAAGAGGAATGGGGGAAAGAGGTGTGGTTGCTGTGTGGCACAATGAATAGTTAGGTCCACTGATACATGACAGAGCGGTGCAGCTCAGGGAGAGCCCTGAAATTCAAGGGTGTCTTCTCTACTGACTGCATCAAACATGCATAAAAAGCCAACAGAAAATTTGGTTCTTCTTCTTGAATACAGCCTCAGAGACAGAGAAAGGATTTTCATTCTCTTTGATCATATCTTCACCTGCAGAGCATATTTGTTTTTATGTGTGATCGTGTTGATGAAATGGACATGAACATATTCTGGTATTTGTTTTCTAATCTTGAAAAGTTAATTGTTCTTCCATCTTTCCTTGCAATAAAGTGATACTCAAAATCTCCAAATTGATGTAATTTTAAAGGAATATAGATGTGGTTTACTGGGGCCCCCAAGTATATCCCATAGCATTTTTTGTTTGATTGTTTAAGTATCCCATCTAGTTCATAAGTGACCGCAGTAAGCCTTGTAAGTATTTAATCCTCCCATGCTTATAGCTAATGTAGTAATGCCACTCTTCATATCAAAAATCAGACAAACTTTCAGGAATTATTTTGCTGTTATTTTAGGCAAAATAACATATATAAGACCAGAAAGGATGCCTCAAGGATAGTTCAAACTCTTGAAGACTAAAATGTAGATTACTTCTGAGGAAATTGAATTGTAATTAATGTTAAATGATTTCTTCTTTTCTTGTCAACAGGAAGATTCGGCTGACTGCGGTGGTGTCTCTGGTCTGAGTCCATCACTGTGGTCTATGGTAGGAATCCAGTTGGTCCTGCTTTGGCTGTTATCTGGCAGCAGACATGGCCAGTTATGACCTTGCTAAACCAAAACCTGCATAACTTAATCAAGACCCGGCCAAAACGATAGCCTCAGTTTCATTTTAAAAAGGGTCAGCTATTCAGACAGCAGCAGAACAGCAGTGCTCGTGTCTGGTTATCACTCATTGTGAGACTCATGAAGGCACCCACAGTGGCTGCATGTTGGAGTGTCAGATCCTTAAATGTGTGTGAATGCTGCATCATCTATGCCATCCAAACAGAATTCTGTACGTGCTTCATTGGGGAATCTAAGAATATTTTTTGTTTGTTTGTTTGTTGTTGTGATCTTGATAACTTCATGTAAAAGGGCTCCCCTGACAATAGCTTATGTATATGATTTTGATTTCTTTTAAGCTTTGGATATCTTGAAGATTTATATTCTTTTACATGAACATTTATTTAAAAAAAAGAAAAAGAAAAAGAAAAAAGAAAACATACTCCCCAATATGCATTACTAGCACCATGCTGGCTGCTTTGAACATCAGTTTTGTCCAAACTACTTGAGTAAAATGAAAACACTGGCTAGTCTTCATGAGAAGTTCAGCATGATTGAAATGCTTTATGATGAGCGGTTTATTCTTCCAAAATGAATCATGTAGCCAGCTAAGTTTTGGTACATTGATGAATTGTTAGTTGGAAGGAAGGAAGGAAGGAAGGAAGGAAGGAAGGAAGGAAGGAAGGAAGGAAGGAAGGAAAGAAGGGAAGAAGGAAATTTCTTTTTCTAAAAACATAAAGGTGCTTGAGAGTTTAACTAAAAAGTGATTCTCATCTTAAACTTGGTGTCATCTTCTGTCAGAAAAAACGTTGATTTCAATGTAATATTCACCTTTTCACAATGCAGTTATATATAAAGCTAGGCAAATCCTTCAAAGGCTCAAACAAAAACGCTTGTGAATAAAAAATGTCTTTGTGATATTTGAACGTTGGTTTCCAAGGGTATTTTGCATGATGATGATGCTATGTTATTGTTTTTCAGTTTGTTTTCTTTGATGGTAGAGTATAGTCCATTGAAAAGGTAACTGAGTGATTCTTTTATTGTGTGAGAAACTGAACATTGCAATGTGTTGCAATCAAATCGTATTGAATTACATTATGAAACGGAGCTCTGAATATACTGTACAATGAAAAAGCTGAGAAAATAGGGTAAATTTAGCTATCGTAACAAAAGGGATGAGTTGGATTTTTTACAGAATAGCGATCTCACATGAAAACCTGTGTACAGATATTTTAAGTATATAAAAATCAGATTTAACACATTTATTTTTGGAAGTATATGTTCTCTAAGGTTCATATCAGGTTCCCCCTTTGTTTCCTTCATTTAAAAACACCCATAATATTAAAACTTCTGCTGTTGCTATTTATTATTGAAAATAGCGTATTTAACAGCAAAATGCCCTGGTTAATGAGATTAGAAAAAAATCTAAACAAATGGGGAGCCTTGAATCTATATGTATGCACATTGGTACTTGATTGTGAATAATAATTTTAGAAGTTGTTTTTATACAACCTCATTGGTGATACAGATTGGTGCAGTAAATTATAATATTACAGCGTAGCATAGTGTTGATGCAAAATATGATTTGTGCTTTTTTTCTAGTTTTCAGAACTAAACAGTATTGCAAGACAGCTAAACCAATGAATGTGCAACTCTGCTGGTATTGTACAATTCTGCTAATGACTGCAATATGCAAATATTAACATGGCACAATACACTAGCTCTTTTAAAAAAAACGAAAATACAAAGCATTGGTATGTATATGCTGGTGATCGAACGATATAATTTTGATCATGCCAAAAGCTTAAATAAATAATTGGGCATGCATTAATATCCTATGAAAACTGAAGAAGCTACTCAAAGCCGTGGCATGGCGCAAAAGATCAGATGTCTACTGTAGTTGTGCTCATGGCTGGTTCGTTGTTTTTCTCATGTATCTTGGCTCCAGCTATGTATTTTCTCATGTTTGGGAATACAGTGAGTGAAAAAAAATAAAACCTGACCTTTTGTTCAGTGATCAGATTTAGCTTTTTAAAAAAAATATTTCTAGTAAAGTCATGGAGTTAAAAGTACAAGTAACTATGTTGGATGACTTCAGGTCCTCCTCAGGGAAGGTGAGCTAGTTTTGACAATACTGGTGAAGATAATCTTGGAGCTCTTCCTTCCAGTCATATTACTGCACTTCTCTTCACCCTATCATCAGTTACTACCTGATAAAAAATTATTTCGCGTCTTTCTAATGCTGAGACTGCATCCTGTATTTTTCCTTAGCATGGTCAATTGAAATTTCATGGGAGGAAAAAGTGGTGTAGGATTAGGCCAATACTTACTGCACTCATGGCTTTTACTCTAAGATTGCTTAAAGTACATATTAATTTACATTTTACTCTTTTAATTTATTGTAAGATTGTCAGTATATTAAGTTCTATATAGTTTTCACGTAGCTTCCCAAAAGAAACCCTTCATGGAAAAGTTACCGTAGTTAACATTTTGGAACAATTTGCTTATGCTGGTAGGCCATATTCTGAGATAGATAGATACTTAAAAAACATTTGATTGTCTGTAGGCAGAAAAGAAGGTGGCACAGAGCCCTGCCACCACAGAAAACAACTGGGCCTTTTGCTCTCTTCCCCCTTCCCTTAGAGTGCTCGAATACAAAACGTGGGAGAAGCCCACGCCGTGCAGACACATTAGCCTTCTTGAGTCAGCCAAAGAGGGAAATGTCCTTTGTTCCTCTCCTCTGCCCCTCTATATGACGTGAAGAAACACATTTCTGTATAAACACTTAGCCTTCCAGCCGTTACATCCATCTGACAGAAAACTCAGGATCTGGCCCTCCCAGAACAGCTTAGTACCATCCCTATAGAACTCAATCCTTCCAACAGGAAAAAAAAAGAAATTTTGGCTTCTTTTTGCAGAAAGCAATATATGTTTTGATTATATCCAAGTGATGGTCAAGATTTTTTAAAATGCACTACCTAGATAGCTGCAAATTACAAAACACAGATAAAAAATGCAATGTGAACTTTAGCTATCTCAAAATGTGAATACCAGTCTGTTCGAAATAACCTCCATGAATATATACATATTTTCCTGCAGAACAGTATCCTTACTCTCACATAATGCATAATAGTCATCTTCTCCTGTCTGTGAGAGAGGAAACTTGATCCTAGGCTTTAAACTGAGACATTTTCAAATTACAGTATGTTTTAATTTATTTTTTTTTTTTTTTATACCAGACAAAAAACCCTGTGTTGATATTTGCTCAGATCCTTTAAATAGCACTAAGGGAACTGTTGGGACTGTTTCAGTTTACACAGAAGTCATGCAGCCTATTGTATACCTGCAAAAAACCACCATTAAAGTTGTTATAACATGGTACAGTGCAAAACATGATCTGAGGACTTAACATGAAAGGTTTCTTTCTAGTTTTTCATTTAAACAACCAGCATTACTGCCAAAACACTGACCGTGGTCCATATTTGTAACAGGTTTTTAACATGACATAGCAGGTATGACTGACAAGATTTTTAGGTCCTGTACCTTTAAGACTTTAGTAAGATCTTTTTCATGTTTCTAATGCTTGAGGCTTTACTGCTTAACTTGACAAAAAAACAGTGTTGCTGCCATTTGTAAGTTTTCCTATAATATTCCTTTTACTAACTTAAAAACTGGCCTTACTGGGTTCAAATAGGCAGTATCCCTTTTAAGTGACCTTTGCAACCCAAGTGTTACTTGCTGTGGTTGAGAGTTTTTGGGTATCACTGAAGAGACATTAAGATCCTTTGTTCCCATTAACACTTAAGCTCAGAAAACATGCTTAGTATGTCTTAATTTCAAAACACAACCTCAGTCCCACTGGTCCTGCAAATTCAGATGCTAGCACATTGGTTATTAAGAAGTATGTTAATGCCTACAAGGCATTGCAACGCACTTGGGTGTTTCTGGAATGTCGACTGAAGGTGAAATCTTAATAACTCCTTCCGTAGGATAAATTTTACCCTAGCTTCATCAGACATCCAAGCCTTTAACAAAGGCCAGATTTATTATTTTTTTTCATACCACAATGTTAATATTGTTAATACTCATTGTACACTACTGTAAAAAGATTAAAACAAAGTGTCTGAAAACAATTCAAGAGTTTTGAAAAGTTAGCCTCACCCTCTTCCCAGCTACTTGCATCTGTCCCGTTTATGGTTTAAAAGAAAAATATCATCTTGAAGAAATAATTTCACTGAGGCTAAAGGGATACTGTCTTGTTCAGATGCCATGGAATTGCGATTGTGATCTGACAAAGCTGTCTTCTCTTCTTGTGTTGTATGGAATGTCTGGATCATGCTTTCTGGGATACTTTTATTGAAATGCTCAGTGTGCGTTTCTGCAAAAAAAGGCTTGATTGCTCTTACAAGGCAAGCAGGTCTTTCTCCCTTTTCTTGTGTTCTCTTGACACTTTTGTGGAACTTGACAAGCCTGGAAAAATAATTTTTTGTAAAAATTTGTACAATAATGTTATAAAAAGTTTATAATCCTAGAACTGTTGTGTTAATTCTTGTGCAAAAACAGTATATTCAGAATAAAAGTTTATCATTTAAAATCAACAACTACTTTGGCTGTTCACTCTGTATAATAAAAACACGTAAATAAGAGCCTACATAATTTGCTATAGAATACTTCTGAGTTTGCTATATAATTGCACCCATGTCTGAAAGAGAGACGTTTTCCCATGTGAAGACAGTGACTTAACACAGTTCTTACTGGGGTTCAAGAGGAGTGTGCAGCAAACCCTCATTTCTGCTTCATTTGTGGCTATGAAAATTTCAAAAACTGAAAAAAATTTGTAACCGACGAAAACCGAGCGTCTGTAAAGCACTCAGTAGAATAATAGTCTGCAAAGCATCTGAAGTAGCCCTGTTGTTCTGAAACAATTGCTTTTGGAGGGATTGTCATTTACTAACTTGTAAACATTGAGGAAGTCCAAGGGTTCATTCACATGGAGAAGCAGAATAAAATCAGATGGCTCAGATGGGTGCTGCCGAAGTTGCTGTCCCACTTCGGACAAAGATTGATGCATGATTTATAAATCAGCTTCTGTACTGGTGCTGTTCTCAGCTAAGCGTTAAATTCAAAATGGATCTATGTACCTTAATGAACAGGCTTGAGATGTTCAGGAGTTGCCACACTGGGTTTTTCAGAGTTACTGCGGTGGCACTGGCAAGCTCCGTCGAAGGGCAGGGCAGATGGCTGCAAGTGGTAACTGCTCGAGAAGCCTGATTTTAATCCTTGACTGCGTATGTGTCAAAGCCCAGAGAGAATGGCAATCGTAAATTACTGCTGGATTTACCGAATCCCTGAGGAGGCAGATAAGAGAGTAAGAAATCAAATGCAGATTTTAATGCTGTAAAGTAACAGA